CCATAAATATGTTGAATTTCATACATGATACTCATATACTATACAATATATTCATACAAGTCTACATTGCTCAAGTGTAAAACTAATACTTTTCTCAATTCTTACCATAGTCGATGTTGATCTACTCCCACATTGTCTCCATTCATTCTTAATAGTCTAAAACTGAAGAGTTGTGTCTTAAAATGCAATCATATGGATGCATTGGCCCGACAATAATATATAGAGTGTAAAAATACTATATGAATGGCAAACATATACTTTATCAGTGAACAAATCGTACTATAGTGACGACTCACTTGTACTTTAACGGCTTAAACATTATACTTAATTGGTGAACAAAGCGTACTATATTTTTTGATGAATTGAATTGTACCAATTTCATCGACGTTTTAATGATCAATAAGTACGGGAGATGCATAAATTATGTTTTAGATGATTATTTTAAGGTAGGTGAGCATTATTGTTGCGTTTGAATACAAGATCCCATAAATATGTTGAATTTCATACATGATACTCATATACTATACAATATATTCATACAAGTCTACATTGCTCAAGTGTAAAACTAATACTTTCCTCAATTCTTACCATAGTCGATGTTGATCTACTCCCACATTGTCTCCATTCATTCTTAATAGTCTAAAACTGAAGAGTTGTGTCTTAAAATGCGATCATATGGACGCATTGGCCCGACAATAATATATAGAGTGTAAAAATACTATATGAATGGCAAACATATACTTTATCAGTGAACAAATGGTACTATAGTGATGACTCACTTGTACTTTACCAGCTTATACATTATACTTAATTGGTTAACAAAGCGTACTATAAATGCTGAAGAACCCAAACTTTACCAGCTTATACATTGTACTCTTATGTTCACTAATTAAACAACAGTACATAGGTTTTACATAGCATGTAGACTGCAAATATTACTAGATTCAACACTATCAAACTATGAACTACTCCACCTTCAGAATTGCAATTCTTCACTTCACTTTCTTGATGGACTTGGTTCATCGACGCACTTGTAGCTTCATTTTCTTCACGATTTGAGTTGGAAAAAGTTTGCCCAACTTCAAATGGTTCACACCAATGGGAGTAGCCATGGTGTGGGCAACAGTAAAATAACCTTCCGGGATTCGAAATAGTTTCTGAAACCATGATTATTGTTTTCTTCCCACAATCAAGACGCTTGCATTTCCCTTTTTTGTATTTTAACCCACTCATTTGAGTGGTGCTACTAGAAGAAGCCATGAATTAGAAACAAATGAGTCTATGTGTCATTTATGGTCATATTATGACTTGACTAGTTCTGACAATAAGCAACGGCTATATTATAAGCAACGGCTATATTGTAACGGTCATAAATTGAGTAAGTCATACCATCCTATCTCATAGATAATACCATGCGTAAATCAAATCAGTACCTTTATACTGAAAATGATAAACCATCAAGCAGCAACAAGCATACCATCATATCGCATATCTAATACCATGTGTAAATAAAAATAGTACTATTAGACTGAAAATGATAAACCATCAACCAACAATAGGCATACCATCCTATCTCATATCCAATACCATGTGTAAATAATAATAGTACCATTAGACTGAAAATGATAAACCATCAATGAACAGAGTACCTAATACATAGTACAAACTACAAATAGCAAAAACATAGTGCAAATTGAAACATAGTACAAAGTTCAAAACAACATAGTGCAAATCACATAATAATAAAGTACAAACAGACAGTTTTCATTCACTTCAATCACTTGAATAACATAATGGGCAATCATGTAAGCTCTCCTCCATCTTGTCCTCCCTGATGAAAAACATAAAATTTACATTAGAAACAAGACTAGTTAGTTTAAGTAACACAAATGCAGACAATATTTACATTAAAAAAAATTGCTAGTCAGATTGGTTGTGTGCAAGTACGACGATTGTGTCCAGGCTTCCCACACCGAGTACACTTCAGTTTACGAGTTTGCACTTGTGAAGGAATTCTTTTTGTCTTTCTACGTCCCGGTCGAGTTCTCGAATCAGGTGCATTAACAAAGACATCGGGCGGAGCATTACACGCATCGTACAAGTCAAAGTCCTCATCAAACGAGGGAATTGGGTTAATCGTGAATTGATATACCTGTTTGTACGTATCAATATGAAAGCATGGATCCACAAACTCATATACTGAGTATCCTTTTGACTCCAAACATGCACATGCATGTTTGCATGGAAGTTTCTCTAATTGCCATGCTTTACAAGAACAAGTCTTCTGCTGCAAGTCAACCTTATACGACTTGTCCTCATCATATACCTCAAAAGCGGTACTACTTGATCTACAATATTTTAAGGAACGAGAGGCCATATGATTGATTGTTAATCTCTTTAGAATTTTCTTGCACAATATGCCAGTCATTGCCAAACTTTTTCCTTGTCGTTTAACTAGCATCTCCATTATTTTGATCCTTATGTGATCAATCATGGATGGAACAGGCAAAGATCGGGCATCTTTAACCCAACCATTCCAATTTTCTGCCTGATTATTGTTCACGATTCCCCATCTTTCTCCAGAAAAATAGGCATTCGCCCAATGATTTGGATCAGAATTCGAAATAAATGATGCCGCGAGAGGCATAGATTGCACTATACGAGAAATAGTTGCATCGAACTCCTGCCGAGTAGGAGCATATGCAGCATTATGTAAAACACTCGCCCAGTATGACTTGTTGTGCAATGGGTATGACTTGTTGTGCAATGGGTACTTCCTCAGGACCTATATTATTTTGAAACATGTTATACAAATGTATGAAACATGCTATACAAATGTATGAAACATGTTATACAAATGTATGAAATGTGTTATACAAAAGTATGACACAGGTTACACAAATGTATGAAACATGTTATACAAAAGTATGAAACATGTTATACAAAAGTATGACATGAGGTGACAAAATACCTGAGTTCTAAAGTTATCCACCAAGTGTCGCAAACAATATGCATGGTGGCTACTAGGAAATACCAACGGGACGGCTTTAAGAAGCCCCGAATGACGATCAGAGAAAATGGTAAAAGATCTATTGTCATTGTGAAGATCTAGAATTTGTTTCAGTTTAATGCAAAACCACTCCCAGTTTTTATCATTCTCAGCATCAACAACTGCGTATGCCAATGTATATAAGGAATCATTTGGATCCTTGCACACAGCAGAAAGCAAGCATCCTTTGTACTTATTTTTAATGTGAGTCCCATCCAAACATATCATCGGCCTACACCGATAAAAGCCGGAAATAGAACTCCCAAAACTAATAAATATTCGAATAAACTTTTGAGTAGCAGGTTCAATCTCATACTCTGCCATGCTACCAGGGTTATGCATTTTTAATGCACGACAATAGCGTCTCAGTTTATCATAACATGTCGTCTCATCACCATGGATATCACGCATTGCTTTTTCTTTACCCCTCCATGCTGTGTAGTACTGAAGCTCCAGACCATAATCGTCTCGGATATCTTCTAACATACCACATGGTGTGTAAGCTGGCTGCGTTCTCAATTTTCGTTTCATAATTTGGGCAATCCATGTAGCATCGGCTTTAGGATGACCCCTTGTACGAAGAGTAGCATCACCACAAGTGTGCTCAAGATTGCACTTGCGAATGCTAAATAACTTATCTGACTTGTACAATGATGCATAAACCCTCCATTTGCAGTTTTCGTGAATGCATACTGCTATGATCTTTTGTTGATCATTTTTCATGTACTTAAATGATCGATTATTAGCAATAGAATAGTTTTTCAGCATATGCCTAAAATCATCAGGATCTTTAAAAAACTGATTCTCCCCACGGATGCAATGTCTCCATGCATCAATTGAATTTCCAAGCGGATTACCCTCGATTTCCATCGATTGATCGCCGCTTTTGGTTTCAAAAAAATTTTAAAAATGGATTACAATAGAGTGGAATCCAAATAACAATGTACATGAAAATATCATAACAATGCACTGGTTCCATACTATCTTCTCCATTATATAATACTAAGTTTTCCCACAACTAGTACCAAGTTTACCTATCACCCATACTATTCAGATGAAGGTTACGTACTATCTTCCCCATTATATGATACTATGTTTTCCCACCAGCAGTACCAAATTTACCTATCACCCATACTGTAAGTACCATACGTCCATACCATATTTATATTAGCATGATACTATTATGTGCCATATTTTATACTATGTATCACACAATAATTAATAACCATAAAGAAATGCATTTCAGCAGTACAGAAAAAGATGGAGACCTACCAGCCATCGGTGCGAACCCTCTTTCCACGCGAATTAGCTTCATCTTTGCGGATCACGACAATGTCGACCACACTCATCTTCATTATCAGATGCAATGCAACCATATTCTCCACATCTTCATCACTGCCCAATGTCACATACAATCTTTCCCGAGGAGCCAAGTATTGGAGGATCAGTGCATCTGGATGGATATGATTCCATTTGTTGATAATAGCACCATATATCTCCATTAAGGTCGAATTACTTTTTATGGAAATAATGTGAAGTTCCATTTTGTGTCGACAACTTCCAAGAATCACAGTGGGTAAATCATTTGATACATCATTTGTAGCCATTGTGGGGTGGGTGGGTTTTACAGTGATTTTTTCGCCGGAAAAAGAGCAACCCAGATGAGAGAAAGGGAGAAGAAATAGAGAAGAAAGAGAGCAGATGAAGAAAGAAAGAGAAGATGAAGAGAGAGAAAAGCAGGAGAGAGAAAAGCAGGAGAGAGAAAAGGGTGAGAGTGAAAAGAGAATATAATAAAATATTCAAAATTCACATTAGGGACTGATCTGCATGTCAGACGCGTGAATAGGGACTTAAATGCTAGGGGAAACTACCTAGGGACTGATCTGTGTTTCAAGTTTTGGTTTAGGGATTTATCTGTAGTTTCCCCTAAATAAATCTGCTCTCACATTGCTCTACAAAAACTCCACCCCCACCACCTCTGGGCCACCCTTTTTTTCTGTTTCAATGGCGGGTCTACACACCTCTCTCCGCCCACAACCACCGTCCTCCGCCGCCAACCACCACTCCTTCACCGCGAAGCTTCTTCTCCTCCTCACCCTCCTCCCCCTCACCCTCGCCGTATTCGCCTTCCTCCTCCAATGGCGCGGCGGCGGCGTCGATGATCCCATTTCCCGATGGTCTCCCGACGAATCTCACAAGTTCCCCGGTATGGATTCATCACCTCTCGCCACCGTCGGCCACTCCGCCTCTCATTCTTCTGATTGCTCCACGCTGCTGGGACACTCCACTGCTTCTTTACCGTATTTCAGAGATTGGAAGTTCAAATTTGACGCCGATCTTAAGCCCAAGGTTTTTCTTTTCCTCTTTTTTTTTTATTTAATTTTTAATGGGTTTTCTTGAGTTGATCTGCTTATAGGGTTTTTGGATTTTGATAGATTTGAAATGGGCTTTTGCTTGTTTTGTGAAATCACTTGGATTCTGTGGTGGTTTTTGATGTTTTTGGCGTTGGGTTTTTTGAATGCTTAGATAGATTGAAACACATTTCATCTTTCTTATGAAGTTTTCGAATGTCTTTTTCATGTGATCCTTCGAATTAAATGAAATGAAATAAAAATAAATAAAAAACTATACATGATCAATTTTATTTCTTCTAGAAAATTCCCAATTTCTTGACTAGAACCGGATTATTTGGAAAAGAGTTACCATTGATCCTTCACTAATTCTTTCCCGAAGAAAATCAGTGTACATTATTTCCAATTATCTGGGCAGAGATGTTTTAACACAGCATTTGCCACTGAAATTATCCTAGTTTTCGCATTTTTTTATTGAGAACCGAACAAAAAGAGGGAATATGTGTCGGGGTTGAAGAGGTGGGCTTTTTTGTAAACTTGCAAATTTTGACCAATGATACTTATTTAGATGACACAAGCATCACGTTGATTTCGTGCCATTTAGTCTCATTAAAGAGATACAATTCTGTCGAACTGAGGTGTGACACCGAATTTAGTCATTATGACAATAATTACAGTTCTCTTAACACAAATTGGAATATTCGTTAAACTGCATTGATCTCCTATACTTAGGTTTAGAAGTTGAGATTTCTTGATACAAAATTGAATTCGGATCCAGTACCTAAGTTCTTGGCATTTCATTACTGAATTTGTTATCATTTTGTACAGTTTTTTTTCACCAAGATTTGCAATTATTTTTTCTTACTTATTTCTCCTTTATCGTATGCAGATATGTATTACAACTAGTACATCTGCTAGCTTGGAGCAGATCTTGCCATGGATGTTTTATCATAAAGTTATTGGGGTGTCGACATTTTTCCTTTTCGTTGAAGGGAAGGCCGCATCTCCTTCAGTTTCCAAAGTTCTTGAATCTATTCCGGTGAGTTTGTTCGTTTCCGTTGAACTTCTTTGTTTCTTTGCTGTAATAAAGTACTTTACTCTCTGTAGTACATGACAATCTGATATATATGGCAAAGAACTCGTATCCCTATCTTACTTATTAAATTTGAAATTTGAAGGGCAGTATAGAGAGCCAGACAGTGATAATAAATGTGATTAGATTAATTTCCAAGCTCTGGTTATTTTAAACGATATTCTGCAAGAAGTAAACTTGGTTCACGGGCTTCGTTTTCTTTTGAGTTAAAAAACTGATGAATTTGTTATTAGATAATATGTAATATATCTTGAATGGAACAGAAGAGATGTACACAAAACAGAGATTTTTTGGCCCTGTTGAATTGAATGAATTATTGTGTCTTATTATTAAAAATATGCATGGTAGTTTTGCGAATAAATCATATATGACTTATATTAATACCATAAATATGCTTCCGTACTGGAAAGAACTTGGACCATTTTACCATTGTTTTTATGTTCTTCTTTACTTTACACATGGAAGTAGGAATTTTTCGCCACATAAGAAGTTAGATTAACCGCCTACGCATGCTGATTCTCTTCCTAAACTGCCTCATCTATCTTGCCCGAGTAACCGTTGGTTAAATTACTGAGGGTCTTTGTGAGGAATACTGAGTTTGCTTCGATCAATTTTGACGGTTGTATCGTTGAGTTAAATATATAGGTATTGAGTTCCGGAATAATAAGGATGGACTTTGTTAACCTTGCAGGGGGTGAAAGTCGTATACAGAACCAAAGAACTAGAAGAGCAACAAGCTAAGAGGTACATTTCATTACCTATTTGAATTTTTACGTAGAAAAATATACTGAACCAAGATGAAGTGAATTTTTACCCATTCTTTAGAAATATGTTCTTTGGTTGACTGTTTAGTCTCCTCCTATAGTTTTTCATGATCTCTCTAGAGTTGGTCTCTTACAATTTTTTTAAATTTTCCTTGCTCTATGAAAAATTGCTTCGTTGTGAAAACGTAAAATTCTCGAATCTATAATTTTCTTACATTTGATGTTTACGTTAACTCTATGGCTATTAGTCTCTTACAAATCTTTTATATTTGATGCTTCAGTCGGATCTGGAATGAAACTTGGTTGTCAAGTTTCTTCTACAAGCCTTGCAATTACGAGCTTTTTGTGAAGCAGTCCCTAAACATGGAGATGGCGATAGTTATGGCAAGGGTATGAATTCATTGCTCGTCCTCTAATGAAAAAACCAAATTGTAGGGAACGAGCTGTAAACTATTTGTGTACTATGATTACAGGAAGCTGGAATGGAGTGGATACTTCATCTCGACACTGATGAATTGATACATCCAGCTGGCGCTCGGGAATATTCTTTGAGGCAATTGTTGCTTGATGTACCTAGGAATGTTGACATGGTTGTTTTTCCCAATTATGTAAGCTTAGTCCGTTCGGTATTTCCCTTTTTAGAGGACAAATTTTCAAATTTAAATTTTTAAATTTAAATTATTTGTCTTTTTTTCAGGAGAGTAGTGTTGAACGAGATGACATTAAAGACCCTTTCACTGAGGTAATTACGTAAAAGTTTTATCACTGTACGTATATGGAATTAAGTTTCTTTGTTTCTTTAGGTCGGTGTGGGTTGGCGGTTAATCTAGTTTGTATTACAATGCCAACTAAGATAATTAATTTTTTCTCGTATTAAATTTTTGTCCGTAGTAGCTTGTTTCTGATGAATTTCTCAGAAACAATTGTAGCGTATTATATCATTTCATTGTAATTTGTTTCCAAGGTGGTGCTTCGTTGTTTTTATTATTGACGAAGAAAATATGCACCAGTAGCAATGAATATTTGGTTTGCTGATATTTTGTATTCTTTTGTCATAATTAGGTGTCAATGTTCAAGAAAAACTACGACCATTTAACAAAAGACACTTACTTCGGCATGTACAAGGAATCAACCCGTGGAAATCCGAACTATTTTTTGACCTATGGGAACGGAAAATCGATTGCTCGAGTACAGGATCATCTTCGCCCTAACGGTGCACACAGATGGCACAATTACATGAAAACTCCAAAGTAATCTGCCATCTATTCAACTGTTATATGTCCTATAAGTTACATTTTTTTTAATCCTATCTACATCTATTCTTTTATTCGGTTTCTAACCTGTAATTTTGCGTAATGATTTGACAGTGAGATTAAATTGGAAGAGGCTGCTGTTTTACATTATACATACGCCAAGTTCTCTGACTTGACTTCTAGGAGGGATCGGTGTGGTTGCAAGCCTACGAAAGAGGACGTCAAACGATGCTTTATGTTGGAATTCGATAGAGCTGTGAGTGTCGTTTACTTTTTTTTTTCCTACTGTTAGATACATCAATGGGCAAAAACGTAAAACCAACTATGTTGCCACTACTTTCCAAGACTCGTATGCATGTTTAGGTTTGTGTGGATAAGCTTAGAGTAAGAAATGTATATCCACTCGAAGTTCTTGAAATTTTACAGCTTCCGTTTTTAGTTCTGAGAAAATTCTAATAGGGCATGCATCAATATCATTAAAGAAAAATTGCAGCGCCAAAGGAATAAAAAAATGTTTTTCATTTAAAGTCGAGAAAGATATGAGATATGTAAGAGAATAAAAGTATATACATGTTAGTCGTCTGTCTTCAAAAATGGTTCAGAACTTTCCCTCGCCGCTATTGTGATAGTCTGTCATATCTGAGGTTATAATTGTCATTTTAATTTTTAATTTTTCAAGACACTTGAAGCTGGCTTTTGATTTTTCAACTAGTGGCGATGTACTAAAACTACGTCACAAGCTCTACCATTTGATCGATTTCATTTGTTTTCAACACTTTTCAGTCTGATTTCATGCTGACTGACAGGTAATCGATCGTTTGTTTTGCAGGCATTTATAATTGCTTCTACTGCAACAGAGGAGGAGATGCTAAACTGGTATGACGCTTGCCTATTTATTTCGATATCACTGTTAAGAATACTTATTTTGAACTGTTCCATTGAGTTGACCATCTCGTTTTTCCCGCAACAGGTACCGTGAGCATGTGGTGTGGACTGATAAAACAATAAATTTGAAATTGTCGAGGAAGGGAATTTTAACGCGCATATATGCTCCCATGGTAAATCACCTTTTACTACCACCACTTATTGAAAACAATGTCTGCTCAAGTCTAAACCATTTTATATTCCTTAATAATCTAATTTAAATTTATTTTTCTTGCTAATATTACAGACAATAATCCAAGGTTTGAGGGAATCTGGTGTATTTAGAACGATCATTGCCTCGGCGCAAGAATCTCTATCCAAGGACAAATTCTTAGCATCAATCGAGAGCAGTAACTCCTCTGTAAAAGCCGCCGATGCTGCTGGTTCAACTGTACTGCATCGATCAAGAAAGATAGGTAGAGATAGAGAGTCTCAATCAACGGCTAGGAAAGTTCTAGAAACAACAACACAACCCCACATCTTTCTAGAAGAAGCGGTCCCACCATTATCTCCGCCAGGCATGGATGGTGGCCTTACGATTGAATCTTGATTCGTTCTCCCGCATGAATTTGCTCTGCTCTTTTTCTTTCTTCGATATTAAATTTTGTCCGTTTTGTGATCGAGTTTATTATTAGGAATAGGGAAGATTTAAAGCGAGCAAGTTTTTTGAGGGGGGTTTCAATTATGGTCAATCCGTTGGCTATTTCCCGATCATTACCCAAGCGGAGGTGTATACTTATAATGTAGACAGAGGGAGAAAAGTGGCCTTAGTAGAGATGTTTGGCATTGACTGATAATGTACAGAAATCGAGCATCTAATCATCGAAGTTGTTTTCTTTTGGTTGTTGTATAGTGCTAGTACATCTTTTAATGAATATGCTGTTTTTTTTTATTTTTATTAAATTTGTGCGTTTTGGGTTAATATTATATACTAGTTTCGGTTTCGTAATTTCTTGTTATCGGAATTTATTGACATGTGTGCTGCTGGTTGATGTCCAATTTTGGCAAGCAACGTTTGAATGCGCAGCCTAACATGAAACTTAGAATGTTTGCTCATAATCATTCAATGTAAATTGTGGTACAATTTGCATTTTTTGTGGGAGTCGACTATCGAAAAACTGAAAAGAGAAAAAAAAAATTCCTTGTAATAAAACCTCGACTTCTTCCTCTTTATATTACACGTATAGGATATCGCTTCTTGCTCGTAATAAAAAACCGTTTGAGAATAATTAAACAAGGTGGTTAATTCTAACAACTTGCAGTCCACACATCAATATGTATATTATCCGCAAGAACAAAACGAAGGAAACAAAAAAACCGGACAACAAAGTTGGAGCTACTTCACTTGCACAGTTTTTGGAGTTTCTTCGTTAGATAACGGCTACACATGGCAGACGAGTACAATCATACTTGTGGCACGACACTATTAACTGATCTTCTTTTAATTAGCCAAGGCCCTGTTACAGAAAACAGATGTAAAACAAATTCATGCTCATAAAGTATTTTTATCTACAACATGACTTAAATGTAATAATCTCTCTAGTGGAAGAACATATAACACATTCAGCGCAAATAAAACGACGAGAGTCGAAGAAAGGTTCAGGAATTTAAATTGACGGGTTAACTACAGATGAGGGTACGGGTGAACTATTCAACAAAAATCATAAGTAGTATGGAAAGATAGCAACCTTAAGAACTTAGTTAGATTCTCCGGTGCATTTTTCTCCTAATACATATTACATTTTTCAGTAAAGTTATTATCTGTCCATTCTCCCAAAAGGGCCAAGACTGCATCAGAACATCTTCGAAAAATAATTCTCTATTGTATCACAACCCGAAAAAACAGTAACGGAAACACTAGAATCACTAACAGAAACCAACTTTCGATTTAGTCCACAATAGGAAATAATGAAGATTCTCGTGATATACCATTTGCAAGATCAAATAAAATACCACAAACAAGTTTAGATTCGGCATGGTAAAGAGCACGGAATGGCATAGAATACATAAAAAAAAAAGTATTAACATTAAATTTAATTTGACCATATATACAGTACAAAAGGTCTTACCCTCGTACAGGTTGATCGAAACATTTGTCATCGTTGACATGTAGCTTCAGCCTCCAAAAGACCACAAAACGTACTACACAGTAAACAGTTAGCATTCCCCAGGCAGCCGAACTCTCTAAGCATTTCAACATAAATGATAAAACAAATCGAATTTTCAAAAATCTTATCCTTTTAAAACTGCTTACTATCTCCATATGTGTCACCTTGATATCTAGAACTCTTGTATTTAGAATTGTGCTGCAGAGAATTTTCTCTCTTTCGACAATCACCACGAAAAGAACTACTTCCACCCTGCCTAAAACTTCTAGAATCCCTATAATTCCGTTCACCACCCCAAGAATCATTACTATTGCCCCTCCAGCCCCAAGATTCATTCTTGTTTTCCCTCCAACCTCTATCTTTTGAACCTATAGAATAATTATTTTCGTAAGAATTATTTAATTTTTCAGCATTCCCATTACTCCGATTCCAAGAATTATTTTCTCTACATCCCCACTCAGTTTGCTTAATATTATTGTTGCTCGAAGCAGATGGCCAATCATTGTTACTTCTCCAAACGTTGTCTTTCGATGAATCAACAACTTGGCTGCAACTTTGTTCCCACGGATTATCATTTTTCAGACATACCGAATCTTCCCACCTAGACCATCCCTGTGGTGCATCTGTTAAACCTACTGTACTCTGCACATGATTCATTTCCCATGGATTATCACTACTCGATTGATTTTTACTGCACTGTGCTTTGGCGGGCTCCACCTCTTCGTTTATTGTCTCCAACTTTTCAACCATATGCGGTGCTTCCTCGGTATTAGGAACTTGGAGTTCAAGATCTGCCATCAGTTTAGGATCCATATACGGGTTCCAATCTATTTCGTCAATGTACATATCTTGGTCGGGCAAAGAGTTGTCACAAGGCAGGCCGTTTATCTTTGCCCAGTATCGTTGTTTCGCATTATCCAATGCTTCTTTACCGGCACAAGCATCCCAATTTAGTACACTCGGATAACAGTAGATGTACTTTTTGGATGCCAGAACCTTATTCCAAGGAACTCTTTCTGACTTGCAATAATCTATTTCCCATGATGGCACCCTGTTGTCCTCGACCCCTACAGAACAAATACGATAAGAGACATCAGAATTTAAGTTGGACGAGGAAGATCAGAAGCAATATTGCAATAGTTTTAAGTCATTATACATAGCAAGAAAACGAGAAAACTACAAATTTCAAAGTAAACCAGCAAGTAAACACACTAAGGAAAGAACACTGAGTTTCTATTCAATCGTCCAAAACATATATTACCACATAATCATGCAATTTTTGCTGACCATTTACTTTGTCGTGAAAAAAGTAGATAGTCTCACTGAAGTTGATGTTTTATCATATATTGTGCATAAAGAAGTCGAAGCATTATTTTCTGAAACGATGCAAATTAATAACATTTATTTTCAAAGTTCAGATATATACACACATATACTTTTATATACATGCTTTAAGTTACTTTCTGAATCATCTTCGATCTTTATTCCCATATATCTTCTACACTCCAAGAAAACACAATGCATCACTGGATGAGTAACAACTCACTCATCTTCCAGTCAAAAAATAAAGGAAAACGGGAAGATAAAATATTGGCGATGTCAAAAAAACTGCTGTATAGATAAGTAATTCAACAGTAATGGAGCAATTAACACTCTAATTCTTACTCAAACCCTTTATTCAAACTCTTGTGTTACCTCTTCGTGTCAAAAATAACTCAAGGTAGAAGAATAAATCCTAAAATCGAAATATCATACCCTAATTAACAACCCCAACCCTAAAAGAGAGAAGCATGAATCGAGAAAAAATCACTCTGTCAAATTGAGGGGAAAAAATAGAACTAAAACAAAAGATACAATCAGCACTCTGATTCTATTAGATCAAAACCTTAATCCAAACCCTGAATTGCCAATTGCAATACAAAATCCACAAAAACTTACACAAAACCCCACCATGTGAAAATCGGATTACCTTTCAAATCTTTAGAATATTTAAAAAACATATATATATTTACTGATAAATTACAATTTAGTAGAGACGAAGAAGAAAAAGAAATAATTCATACCAGAAGGAAATTGGTGGTTGCTGTAGGGTATTGGGGTAGACGAAGGGGTTTCTTCATATTCATAGCTGTTTCGGAACTTCGTTCTCGGCAGATATCTCCGATTCCACTTTCCCATTCCTAGAGAGAGAAAGAGAGAGAGATGGAGAGAGAATCACTCTGAGCAGAGAACAAAAGAGATGAAATCAGGAGTATACGAAGAGTCGGAGAGAAATATATATATATAGAGTACAACTTTAAAAGGGATTTCTGGGGGAAAATACAGTTTTGGTCCCTCATGTTTGCACTGATTTCACATTTGTCCTCCATGTTCGCAAAAAATATATTTGATCCCTCATATTTCAAAAATTCAATACTTTTAGCCATTTCCGTCAATTTTCTGTTAGAAGCGACGGAATCAAGTGTCTGCCCATCACTGCCTTAACTAACGGAGTAACGGTAAATTGACGAAAATGACCAAAAATGTTAAATTGCTGAAATATGAGGGACCAAATTTATTATTCTGAACATGGAGGACTAAATGTGGAATTAGTGTAAACTTAAGGACCAAAACTATAATTTTCCTGGGATGGCTGCTACAACTTTCTTTTTTTTTTTTTTTTTTCAATTTTTACTAGTTGTTAATGAGGTGAAAATGGGACGAATTGGATCAAAGTTGTCACTTTTGGAAAAGTTTCAATTTTTTTTTTATTATAAAAAATGAGACATTAATTGCAATTGAATTGAAAAAGAAATTGGAAAAGTTGTAAATTGCGACCGGAAATTGTTTTCAAAATTCCAATTAGGATCGAAATCGGTGGGATTGAAAAAATTTATTTCTTTTACTTACCAATAGTATAAGATTACTAGGGTTGACTTATAACAAAAATAGATTATGAGCTTTTTTTTTTTTCTTACCATATTGCCCTATTAACGTGTTGCTCTAGCGAATTATACCAATTTTCTATAAAATATTTTATCGAATGATTACTGTATCATAACTTTTTTGTTTCTGAAGATAAAAATAACTTTCATTAGACATAGCAAGCCAATTGACGAGGAAGGTTGAACAAAGCTAAAATTATATGAAATAAAATGACCGGATAGATGAAGACACTCTCCAACATATGCTCCGAAAGATGAAAACGAAGGTTCTTCTTCTTTGAGTGTGTTAATGACTTGTCGACAGTCCCTTTCCATTGTAATCGAATTTCATCTCGTTTCTTGCACCGTGGATAAAGCCCGATGAGCTACGTGGGCTTCGCCTGCAACCATCATCGGACGACGTGGGTTTTTGTTTATTCTCTACCAAAGGCAACAATCCCGAGCTACCATGGAAATGGAGTAGTAATTCGCACCATATGGAAACAAGACGTTAAGGTGTAAATTGAATCAATCGTAAAATTTAAATCGCAATTTAAAAACTAATAGTCCAAACTCCAAACTAATTAAAATATTTCATAAACCCTCATATCATATCAATATAGTGGAATTAATCAAAATCTTTGCTAAAAAAAAAAGTAACATAATTTCCATAGAAATCACACAAACATAAGTAATTCATTTAAAAGCTACAATTTATTTATTTATTAATTATTAATTATTTTTTGTTTAAATAAAAACTACATTTTTCAAAATCCGGCAGCATCCATCACCTCCCTCCCAACAACGCCGCTCCTAATCAAGCTTCCGATGGTGTCGACCGCCATTTTCGCATCTTCCAGTGGATTCCTCTTCGCCAATCTCTTGTACAAATAGCTGTCAAACGTCATCCTCTGCACGTACTCCTTCCCGCAGAGCTCCACCAGCGCCTCCCTCCCGGCGTTGCTCCCGTAGAACACCTTCTGCAGAACATCCAAGAACTTGAACGTGCAGAAGTACTCGTCATCCCACTTCCTCAGGTACTCCCTCCTCAAATCCCCCTCTCCGATCATCTTCCTCCCGTTCTCCGACGCCCTAACGATCCCTTCTCCGCACATCCTCCCGCTCTTCGCCGCGAAGTATATTCCTTCGCCGGAGCATTTGGTGACGTATCCGGCGGCGTCTCCGACTAAAGCCACCCGCCCCCGAACCCTAATTGGCCGTGGGTGCTCTGGAATCGGGTGGGCTTCGACTTTGATTATTTTCCCCCCTTCGATTTTGGATTTGACCCGGTTTCTGATTGCGCCTTGAAACTGTTTGATGTTTTGCTTCGAGCAAACCGTGCCCGTTCCGACTGCCACGTGGTCGCATTTGGGGAAAACCCACCCGTAGAAATCCGGCGAGGCGTCATCCCCCACGTACATCTCCGCTAGATTTTCGTAGTATTTCATTTTGTCCTCCGGCAGTTTGATCCTTTCTTGAAACGCAATGGCGCAGGTGTAGTCACCAGCTTTTATCGATTTCGCCACCTTGCTGTTGGCCCCGTCAGCTCCGATTATAACATCCACGGCGAGGGTATTTTGGGTATTGTTAGAGATGTAGTGGATTATGTAGGGCGATTTCTCTGAAAGGGGAAGTTCTATATTTGTCACAAGGGCTTTGATGAGGGTAGCTCCCCTTTCCTCGGCTCGAAGCCGGAGGAAATTATCCAGTACTTCGCGGCGTACCATAGAGATGAACTCGTTCGGTCTGAGCGTTTTTCCGAAATCGACCGTGAGATTCGACGGTGAGATAATCTTCATTTGGGTGACTTTGCGGTCTATAAGGTGAGAAGGGATCGAAAATTCATCGAGCATGCACAGAGGGATTGCTCCGCCACAGGGCTTAGCTGCTTGGGGGCTGCGTTCGAATATGTATGTTTCGATGCCGCCGGTGGCCAGAGCTTCTGCGGCGGAGGATCCCGCTGGGCCGCCGCCAATAACCGCAGCTCTCAAATTGGAAGTGATGGTGGTGGTGGCGGATCTGCATTTTACTGTTTGAGGTTTAAAGGTTTTGGATTTGAAGGTTTGAGTGAGGGAATGGAGGGGGTGGTGTACTGGGGTTAGGGTATGAGCTGCCATGTTTGGTTGGGGCTTGTGAGTTAGGGTTTTCAAAAGTGGAAAGAGTGTTTAGTCTACAGTGAAGATTAGCAGAGTACTTAATCAGGTATATTCTACTATTAAACTGGGATTAGTTTAATGATGGTGCAGACTGTTTAGTTCTTTAATGGTAGTGGAGATTAGTTTAATACTAGTGATAAGTGTTGCTTGTCTGCTTTACATATAAAAGATTAGGAATCTTTTGTTTCTTGAATAAAGTACAAAACATAGCAGTAGATCTGAAACTTTTCTTTCAGCTTTGCTTTTTTGTAATTAGTTTTCAAGAATGGGATTTGGTGGTTTATTACTTTTTAATAATACTAATTTACTTAAGGTTTATTGATATGATTGCAGGGTAGAAAGCTTCAAAAACAATTAACGTACTCAGCCTCCACGCTGGCTTCTCGAATCAACAAGGTAATTTCTATGCTGCTTTCTGCTTGTGGCATATATAGTAAATTGTGAGAAGTAACATAATTGATTCACTTGTGACAGATATATTGGGTGTAATTGACCATGCAAATTAGAGGGTAAAAAACCGTAGTGAATCATCATAGTTCATAAATGAAATCTCCTAGCTAAAACTTACAAAAATACATGAGAAGTAATTTAGTTGAACATCCCGTAAAAGTGATGTATCAGCACAATGTTTCGTAGATGGATTTTCCATGCATGCAGTCATAAGATTGAGAACGAAAACGGTAGTTCTTGATTTTTTATCACTGAGTTATTGAATAGAAAAACCAATAATTGTGCTAGGCTGCATTCTGTAGACTTCAATCATGTCATGAACTCTATGACCTTGAATATGCATTATTAGCAAGTATTCCTCTTACAATTATAAATAAATATAATTGATTCAGTTTTATTTTTGCAGAAAACTGCACTGATAAACACTGGATTTATAAATAGATCTTTCGTTTCTTGTTACAAGTTACAGTTAGTGATCTCTTTCATTTGTGGTAAAATGATTCAACTAATTCATCCTTGCAATAGCTGAGGATTGTGTGAAAAAGGAGAAAGGAAAGAAAGATTTGGGATCTAGGCTTGGATCAAGGAAAACAATGAGTAAAATAGTGTAAAAAGTAGGTAAAAATCGTGGCTTTGTTTGGTTGGGGATAAAATGATAAGTAAAGTAATTTGGCATTGACCTAGCAATTTACCCCAACCTAATACGGTATGTCATGATTATGGCAGTGAAGCATTAGGATGGAGTAATGGCCCAAAGTTCAATTACGACACGAATAAAATTTTGAATTATCTGTTTCGATTTTGTGGTCTTGAAATTGCTGGTAATGAAGAATGATCTTCTGCTCCCTTCTGTTCCTCTTCGTGTTGGAACGTTGTAGGGTTCTTGTTAGTTACTTCACTACAGATATAGGCATGTTTTTTAAAAGAATCTTGAACACAAATGTTACTTAAAACAATTCTTAAAATAATAAGGACTTAGCACTCTCATGCTCCATCATTCGTTAATTATAAGATATAGAAATTCCAAACATTTACATAAAGCTAAAGTCAACAACCGAAACTGGATTGTTTCTAGCAGCTTATTTCCCCATTGAATTTGCATCATCCGTACCATTATGGAAATGAATCCCCCGAAGTCGTAGTTCCTTTGTGCTCATGGTTGATTTTATAGGACCATTCAGACCTCTCAACTGCGGTGATCTCTGCGAGAAATTGAAATGATTACCAACCCAACTCGCGCTTGTCAGCTCACTGTTAATCGATGATATAGGAGAAAGCTTGTGCTTATAAGGTGAGGTAATCTCAGAACAGACATCGAAACTAAGCGGTCTTAATCTTGGCGAACTCAATGACCTTGCTTTTGCTTTCGCTGACTCAGTGGAGGCCATGTATGCAGGAATAGAAGGAGAGCCTAAAAATGAATTGTCTTCCCCTATGGAACGCTGCTTCCTATGGTGGTGCGATCTTCTTGGTACATACGCAGGGGAATCCGACATTTCTGTTTGGTTCTGTTTTGGCAAATGTCTGATTTCTCTGTTTCTGTCATTAGCTGACAAATTTCTGTCCAAATTTCGTGGAGTATCGCTTTTTGCCAGCTGGGCATCTACCCATTGTTCCAACCAATATCTTCGTCTCCCGTATGCCTTGTCACGCTCTGTTTCTGCTGACCTCTGTAAGTATATCTTTGTTTTAATGACAGTTTATTTGCGTAACGAGACTTGAAAAAAAAAGTGAAAACTGTAAGAAACTGACCCGGTGGTTCAGGTAGTACTCTTTGACACGCTCTCTCTTTATAGAAGCGTCTCTCTTTGTTAGCAAGAGAGCCTTCAACTCTTCCTTCGTCAATGTACTGTCGTCCCACCTTTTCTGGCTGTTTAAATCTACCTGCAATTTCGTAAACAAAGATTAATTGAAATCTCTAATTAGCACAGTATTCATCTAGGTGAGGCAAAATGGTGATATTGTGACCCTTTCGTTGAACTTCGTCTTGCATCAGTACATTATGTTGGTTTTAAGAAAAAATGGTGATACACTGTATATAGCGATATACATGCCAGCTATACTAGGAAAGTACATTTTTTCGGAATGAAGTTACCTTTATGTCTTTCTCCCTAAGATTTTGTGACTTGTATTCTTGACAATGCAAACTGTCCTCAATTCTTCTCTTCGAGTAAACTTCGGACTGGATGTTTACTATTGACTGCAGACACTTGAGGGTGTTAAGAGCTTGCTGTCGAACAGCCCAACCACGAATAAGAGCTTGAAGCTTTACGACCCCTTTCAGTGCTCGTAATGCTTTCCTTGCCTGGTAAGGCAAGCAATGTTTATGCAGAAATAAACACCATAGGATCATGTTTCATCTTTTTTTTCATTTTACTAAAGCTAATTCAGTTTGACACAATACTTTTTCACCAAGTTAATAATTAAAGTAGATAACCCCTTATTTTCCCCCCTTATACTTACTAGGTAACCTCGAAAAGCGGCTTGAATTTTGATGGCAGCCGAATTTTGTGACACGCGCTGCTTTTGCTGAGAGGGCTTTGGAATATCAGCAAGACTAATACTTTCAGCAGATATACAGTTGCTAGAGATCTGCCCAATCTCGAGAGTATCTATTGTAACTATCGCAGGTAAAGAAGCAGTATCACTCTCTTCTGCTTTTTCCCATGTTAACTTTTCTCTTGCAGGGGGCGGAGCGGATAATGGCGCAAGTTCTTTTATCTTAAGCAAACGGAACGCCCATCTCTTTCGCTTATCCTTCTTGCAAGAAATCGAACGAATTCAGGTACATATATTTCCATCCTCGTAGTAATTCAGTACTCGGAAAAAAAAAATAAAAAAAAAATCATTCTTTACCTTGTCAAGTCTTGATTGTGGTTCTGAAATGAATAACCTCTTTATCATACTGAACCACGTCTTCTTCTTCTTCGCCATCGCTCGCCGAGATTATTCGAAACTAATAAAAAGCTACATTAGGAAAACTAGTACTAATGAAAAAGCATGTCAAACTGAAGAGTTGCAAAAGAATGGAACTTTTTTCGGCAGTGTGACGGAATGTAGTTGCTATCTATAATATCTTTCTTCTCTTACCAATAATTTCGTTTTACGCCAATCTTTTTCTATGATGAGTTATCATGTGTTTGGCACGTGGGCCTTTTGCACCATAAAGTGAATGAAAACAAGTGAGAGTCAGTCTAGTTTGTGGAGGTAAAACTATGTATGGGTTATACCATAAGAATCTTTATACATTAATGGGTCCTATTTCTTCTTTCTTGCCAACTTTCTCTTTTGTCAAATGTGGGTTTGCTCTGCTGCTCAGATTTGTGTTGAAAATTGCTGAGGCTACACATGGTCATTTTCCCATGAGCCATACATACAGCATTGCATGTGAAAAAAAAAGTTTGTTATGGCACAAGTCATCAATCACGAAGTTCATTTGAAAATCGCTTATCATGCATATTAGCTGCGATTTTTCGTGATTACGTTGAATATAAAGGGTATTTTTGTAATTTACTGCCGTGTGTATTTTGACATAGCTATTTGAGATAGCGAATTTGGTGTTTGCAAATAGATCTTAAAGAGTGTAAATTACTGTTTTGAGTTCGGCTTCTGTTTTAACTTGTTGGGATGTGTGTGATTCGAGTTCCATGATGCATGGGCTATAATTCATGTGTATGGTATAACTCGATTTAATTGCTTGTTCGTTTTTCGGAACTTTTGATAAAATTGACGTGATTTTTTCGATTCGATCGATTTTTACAACGAGAAAAACTCCGTAAACCAATGTTGTAGCTATTTAAGACAAAGGCAAACCATAGGATAGATGAAATTGGGAGGCTGCATTACATAGAATGTACTAAGAAAATGTAGGATATATTAGAACCTATGTTATATGCCCCTTTTGCCCCTACAGTAGAGAGAGACCATAAAATCAAGAAAGGGGTGGCCTTAGAATAGGAACACATAAATCCAAACTGAAGAAAAAAAAAAAAAAAAAAAAGAGTGAAGAATACATTATTGAAGTAGGTGGGGAATACCCTAATGTGCAATGAATGAGAGAATGTAGGGAAAAGAGCAAGGCATGCTTTGGTGGTCGAAAAAAGAAGAAGATATATAGCTGTTAGAGGGCCCAATTTTTGTTTTGTTTTTTTTTTTAATTTTTTTAATTTTATAAATGAGTATGATAATTCATATGGGAGTATACTATTCTGGTGAAATATGTTCGGTGATTTTTTAATCTTTTTTTACCTAAGTTGATGTGTAAAATACGTATGGATCTATACAGACACGTGTATGGTAGGATATAATCTGATAAAGTTTGGTCGATGTAATATTTAATAAACCATTGTATACCTTATTTATAAATGATGACAACTTTGAGAGTTAGGCCTATATTAAGAGATGTAGGTCATAGCTTTACAAAAACTACGAAGATTCCCTAATTGTGTTGGTATGTAAAAAAATCCAAGGGAATAGGTACTCATACGAGTAAGTGGTACTCGGTCTTGGTTTCGTAGATGATACATTCATTTGGTGAATACATCGGTTGATTCTGCACTATTAATATGTGTTATAATAACACACACACACACACACACACGTATGTGTGCTCAGTGAGTTTGTTAATTCATATAGATCAATGGTGCATAGTCGCTCAGTGTTACGCCAGGTGTAGCATCTGATAAACCAAACCGTCGGTCTTTTCTTGATTTTGAGAGAGTGACGCTTCAATTTTGTTCGAGTACGCATGTATCGAAATAGTTGTTTGTAATGTTAATTTAATATATATATATATATATATATATATATATATATATATATATATATATATATATATATGTATATGTATTAGTGAAATGTAATGGTGCAAGTGTGGAATTGGAATAGTGCAAAATGTGGGAGTGGGAGTTGATTAGAAGGGACATTGATAAATGGGAGCATGTTCCTATCATCCACTTATTCTGATATGCTGTCGGATAATGGAATCCTTCACTGTTCATATGAGAAGCTACCAGCTGTGCTTTGTTTTTCATTAATTTTAATTAATTAAATTAATTTATCTTCCAAAAATAATTCAAGAGTTTGTTTTGTAATATTGTACTAGTGGAGTTGTTATTTCTATGCTACACAAATGTCGATGTATCTGTGTTTGTGTACTTATGAATGATAAAGATATACTCGGTGTATTTTGTCAGAAGTAGCATAATATAAATTCAACAAAAAGAAATATAATATATATTTCGTGCATCGTACAAATGGAATTACTAGTTAATTATGGCTTAATCACACTTTACACCCTTGAAATATACCATTTTATCACTTTGCACCCTTAAAACAAATTATTAGTACTTTGCACCCTTGAATCACAATATATCATGCATAATGCACCCCACATGTGTGGTATTGAAAAATTATATTTTTTTATCACAAAAAAGTATTTTACCGAGAAAAAAATCATTCAACTATTCGGATATCAAGTTATCTGAAATTCATATTTTTTTTTCCAAATATTTCTACCTAATATTTTTTCCACCAATTACAATAAAAGATCTACTAGTCGAATAATTTAGTGATAAAAGTTTATTTGATTTTATTTTATAAGAATATATAAAAAAATTTCAATTTTCCATTGTGATTTTTTTTTCGCACTTTGTGCGCTCGAAATTAGGTTGGAGGTTGAAGAAAATAACAATTTAATTTGTTCTTTTGCATCCCAGAGAATAAAAAAGTAGAAAATGAATTATCCTTTATTATTCAATTAAGGGTGCCTTGTGAATGATTTATTGTGTTTTGAGGGTACAAAGTGCTATTTTTGTTTTTTAAGAGTGCAAAGTGCAATTAGGCTCTATTTCAAGGGTGTAAAGTGGGGATTAAGCCGTTAATTATTGTGTTAACAAAAACTTAAACATAGTAAGTGATTATATATTTATATGTACGTAATTAGGGGCAATTTGCTATAGGTCCTTCTATGTTAAATTTTATGTGAATAAATCCTAGTCAAAAATCCTATTTTTTAATAAATTAATTGTATTTATTATGGCAAAAATACCCTTAATCAATCCAAATCAAACCACCCCAAAATATCTTTATCAATTAAATCCCCCAAAAATCTCTCTATCAAATCAAATTTCCCAAAAAATATTTCTCTCAATTTTAAATAAAAGAACAACGTCACGTCGTAAAAGAAAATATTTGCTGAAAAACGCAGACTCTCAAAAAAACTTCCACAATGATTTCACTAAATTGAAACAGCAAACGGAAAAATATAATTTGCATTATTTAAGTGCAAACAGTAGACTACCTATGAATCGACCAAATGCAAACAACAAACTACTTCATCTAATTGCGAACAACAAACTGAAAATATGATCCAAACCATCTAAATTCAAACGCAATAACAACATTAATCAAAAATAATAAACATAATACAAATGTAAAAAAACAACAACAAAATCTTCCAATGTCTAAAATTGCGATTTGCAGTTTGCAAAAAATCAACTGTTATGGATTGCAATTTGCAGTTTTCTGTTATATGCTTCAAATTTATTTTGCCATTGCAAAATTTTTTTGTTGTTTGCTGGAGCAAAATCAATTAGAAAACACAAACAAAAATTATAAAATCACTACAAATAAATACAGAGAGGGAGAAGTAAAGAGCTAACTTTTTGTAAGCAATGAGTTGTTTGTTGTCGGCTATTAACTCTTTCACCAACATATAATCTCATAATGTAAAGAAACTCTCTTTTGTTTTGCTATGTATTCCATCGGAAAAATCAAAGAGAGTATAAGGAGGGAGAGAGAGAGAACGTGAAAGAGTAGAGAGGAGAAAGGAGAGAGAAAAAAAATCGTGAAAAGAGAAAGGAGGGAGAGAAGAAAAAATACGTGAGAAGATAAGAGAGGAGAGAGAGAGAGAAAAAGAAATACGTGAGAAGAGAAGAGAGAAGGGAGGAGAGAGAGAGAGAAATTTATGGAAGGAAGATAGTGATATGTGGGATTTGTTTTCTCACTTCTTTACGTAAAAAGACTAATTCCATATAAAACAATTAATAATTTACGGGTATTTATGTCTAATAACTTGTAT